CAAGTGCGCCGAAAATCCCTCTCGTAAGGCAATTGCGCGTGGAAAGGGCGAGGGTCCAAGGTCGCGCCTAGCGGAAGAAGCCGCAATTGTGCAGTAAATAGGGGCTGAGGATGGAATGCACTTTGCGGAGGGGATCGGGCAAGTTGTCGGGCGTGGGTCGATGAAAGAAGAGGCGAGCGGGTCGTAAAACAGGTCCGGACGCGCAGGAGGGACCGCCGCGTGGGCCCAACAAAGGCTGACCGGCCAGGTAAGGCCGACCGAGTTCCCAAGGCACTTTCCCAGGGCGTCTCAGCATCTGCGTCGGTCGAAATCTGAACGGGGGTGGAAGATCGGTGCAGCTGCCGCGCATCGACGGCAGCGGCGACGGCGGCGTTAGCGTCGGCGGTGGGGGTCGACTCGTGGCGGGGGTGATGAGCCTATAAAAGGAGCTGCGGCCAAGCGACGCTCGCTATTTCATCGTACGACTTGCGAGTACTTGTACGTATCTACTGACCACGTGGCGACGGTAGTGTGTGTGCATCTATACCTACTACGGGCGTCGCGTCGATTCGAGAGGGAGCAGAAAGATAGATAGAGACAGAGAGACGGACAGAGAGCGCGTAGAACGCAGGTGGTGCCAAATAGCAACTGTAGCAGCTATTGTACGAGAAAGCAGACATGATGCTGAGCAAAGCATTGACCAAGTCGGGCAGAAAGATTCTTAAGGTAGGCGCACTGACCCCTTGTTACCGAACGCGCTCCCACATTCTCACGCTCCTTTTTCCATCCAAATCCCCGAGAGTTTTGGAATCGAAATAAACATGATTTTGGCTTCGATGTCCTTTGTGCTCGAGCGCCGCTCGCTTCCAATGACATTTCCATTATAAGCACCTTCGAATCGTTTCTCATGCATTATATTCACTCCTTACAGGCGATAAAAAAGATCTCTACGGGAAGGCTCGCAAAGAAATTGCAACAACAGCAATTGGAGCAGCAACAACAACAGCAACAGCAAAGAATCAATTGGTTCTTGCAGACGAGGCTGTACGAGCACGACAGGATTTCAGTTATATCGAGCTCCCTGCCGTCGCTCGATGCCAAGAG